TCGTCTTCGTAAATACACCATCCTTTGCAATCGGGCGTTTTGCAGTGAAACGAGTTTTCAATTTGATTTTCCGCTATTCGCAGTGATTTGGCCAAATGATCGTCGTGCTCCGTTTTCGAGAGGAGTGCTTTTATTTCACGATCCTGCAATAGGCAATCGCAAGAATATTGATCGTCATAATATGGACATTTCACTTCGGCTTCGTCACTGTAAACAATCGTATTTCGTATGCAATCTTTGCAAAAAGTGTGCAAGCAATTCCGTAAAATAACACCTTCCGTCGGCTGATATTCCACTAGACAAACAGAACATTCAAAGACTTCCGTATTTTTTGTTAGATCCATTGAATCGTCCAAGGATAACAGCTCAATATACTGAGTGATTGGCTCACTCTTTTTCACTTCCACCGTTGAACTGAGCTTATCAGCAGCGCTCTTTGAAGTCGTTTGCATACCGGTTGTGGAAGGTTTTCGTACGGGATTAGTGCGTTTTTCATTCAAAATTTTCGTAATCTCTGGATTGCATCGTGGATTGTAGTTGTATACGCCACGGTAGCCTTTGACTTTGTTCATGTTTTCGTTTCGGGGAGGCACTCTTTCAATAAGAAACCGGTTGAGCATAACATGTTCAATCAAGAATTTTTCACCATCCCTATTATTTCCTGCGGCGTCGTCAAACAGGGACTTAGCCGTCGTTTTTTCATCTCTTCCGTTATCCTTTTTCGCTTCACGATTTCCATCGGGGCTTACATTTTTTGCAGCATTCACCTCTTTTTCTACAAGTTTTGGCTCTTCTTCAGTTTGTACAACGACCGACTTTTTCTCAATCTTCGCATGTGCTTGGACTGAGTAAGAAAAAAGAAAACCAATATACGTTACATAAATTCTTGCTATTCCTTGTGCTGACATTTAATAACTTGAAACAAAAATTGGCACCCACCAGCTATTTTCTCAGTATTTATGTAGAGAGCGGATTGATTCGTGATCCCATACTTGGCAAGTGAATGCTCTCCATTTTTCAGCAGCAATCCGTTAAAGTAAATTTTGGGGTTTTTGCATGGCATCAACTTTTCGAAAATGTACGTTTTGAATTCATCCAAAGTCATATCAAGATGAACTTTCGCTTCAATCGCATTGTTGAAATTAATATACAAGCTCAGCCTGGCAATTAAATAAACCACATAACATAATATTGTACAGTTAAGTTCACACAGACCAAGTAACACACACAGAGAGAGACGAAACAAAATTATGTATGTCTGAATGTTTCACGTATTACGAATAAATCATACAACTTACGAAATCTCATTCCCAATGCCAGATTTAATTGAATTTCTCGCTGCAGTTGTTGTTCTGTTTTCGTGTTTTCCGCTGGTGGTATTGTGTTCCAACTTTTTGCAAGTATTCACATGGGATGCATCATCATCACAGTAAGTTTGTGTATTTCCAGTAAGTTTGTTACACTTAGTTATGCTATCGATATTCTCGATTTTTCTAATTGATTGTGGCCCGTTGGTGGTGTTCTCTTTTGTATCGTTTGCTTTGGTAGAACATTCGACAACAGCTATATTCGTTTGGCGGACGGACGGAAGGTTATAGTCTTTCTCAATGTCATATTTCAATAAGCCGTTTCGCCGTTTGCCTGGCTTATTGATTGTGGCAGTTTTGATTGTTGCTTCATTTTTCATTTCGTCAATTCGTTTTTCCGTTTTTCCCGAATATTTCTGTGCCAGTGCCCGATTATTCATTGCTCGAATCACGGATCGAATGCGTTCTTTTTCCATTGCCAAGGCTTCGGGCGATATATTTTGATCGCCATACTTAAACACACACATGCTATTCCTTTTCGGAGGCAATTCTTTCGATGACGACGCACTTTTAATGTCCACCACATTCATCGAATTACGGTTTAGAATTTTATCGACGTCATTATTATTTGGTTTGATCGCTTTTGGCCGCATCATCACCGCACTCATTAAATTTTTCTCATTAACCCGTGCTGAATCATTGTCCACATTTTTCGCAAACGCTAAATTTACATTTGGATTAATTGTTGGTGTGTTGTAGGGTTTGATTCGTTCGCATGCATCACAAATTATCTTCCAAAATGGATTTTGTAGCGTACAATGATTGCAAATCCAAATTTGATCATTTCGATGTTCTCGAAAATCATCATTGTCGTATAAATCATGGCGTCGATTCGAATCCAAATTCACATTGACCTCATTTGTTTCTTTTGCGGCGCATTGGAAATGATTTCGTATGTGGTTGGGCTCGAAAATATTCAGATTAATGGCTTTTACAGAAGATTTGTCACTGAATCCCTTTGATATGGCAGATAAATTATTCATTTCGTCGGCAGTTGCATGTTTTTCCTTATTCACAACACAACTAGCAATTTTATAGTCGACGACGGCTATCGGTGGCAGAGGCGCTGGTTTCTTTCGTTTTTGTACCGTAGTAAAACATGTCATAGTTTCGGGCGCGCTGCCAGTTTTCTCATTTGGAAATTTACTTTCACGTTGATTTATGCTCGATTGCTCGTTTATGCGTGAAGTCGTTGCATCAAGTTTTCCCATCGGTGGTGATGATGGTGATGGTGGTGGCGGGGCTTTTCTTTTCCCTTTTACATGTGCTTTTATCGGCATTTTACTATGAGATCACTCCGAACAACACACTCACTCACTCACTTCACTTGATTAATTTTTTGTGTTTTTCTTTATTCACGCGCGTGTACTTATTCTCACATAAAGTGATCGATGAGCCTGTGTATGTGCTTTTTTTAATCTCCCAACCAATTCGTCATTCGTATTTGATGGATAAACGAAATGGGAAATGTAAAATCACATTTCATTACATATCATTTCAGTAGAACAATTTTTCACTTCAAACTAAAAACCAAACTGAACCGAACCAAAAAAAAAAAACGATATGCAATTGGAACCGTAGAGAAAATAGTAATTAAGTTTCATTACCGACGATCAAGTCAAGCGAATGCTCACTAAATGAAGTCACATTTGAATTAATTTACAGGCAAAGATAATGACGCATATCCCATGAAATTTTGTGTATTGACGCGACTTTTTGGCTGTGTTGCTATTGCTTCGTGAAATGCTAAAAATATAACGCTTCCAAGCTGTACGAATGCCAAACGAACGAACGTATCGAGACACAAATATACTCGACATCAGCGACATTATGTTATACTCTCTGATTTCGGTGCTCTGCTGCTGCTCCGAACGAACACGATCGTTCAATACAATCGGATCTGTGTGTATATGTCATCGCCTGAACTTTTAATTTTGAAGAGATGTACTGTGTGTCGAATCGCAATTGAATGCAATATTTTTTAACGAAAAAAAAGTCCGCTACGATCGTTTTGATTTCATCACACTCAAATCGATCGCAAATCACATAGAAACGCACACAGACTATTCATCAACCGGGAACGTATCTAAATTTGATTAGGCTACCGATAGCACTCGGTCATAATCGATTCTCGTCGCCCTTTGCACGGTGAGCAGCACATAAATTGTAAGAAGAATGCAAATAGAACGCGATACATGTGAGCGGGTTAATAGTTCTATGTACACATGAACATATGAACATGTATAGATTCGATTGATTCGATGGTTTTCGATTGAAAAACTATTAGCATGAATTCGGAAAAATACCCTGAGTCAAAATAATTTTTAGGAGAAATTCAGACAATCATTGAATTCGAAAATTTGTTCGAGTCATAAATAACTTATGATTATGGAAAGCTCGCATCACGTGCGGCTCAAGCCTTTATATCGATTACACGGCTTACTTGTATTTCAAATCAATTTCATGTTGAGAAAACGCAAACCAAAAACCATAGCCATTTATTCATTTTGGGTTTTTGTGGTGTTTGATGATGTCTGTATGTGTGCGCGGTGACTGCCTATATAGCAATCGATGTCAAAAATATGTCTCTGAGATATGAGTCAAAATGTTCTTCAACCAAAATTTGATTGTACCCTCTCCACGTTTTCAATTACATCCATACATTATTAAGTTTCGAATGAAACAAGTCTGTTTACCGTCTAATATGGTTATTATTCGAGATTCTCGGAATGTTTGTACACCGTTATCAATTAGATGACGAGTGACAAATCACATTGAATGTCTCATTCCCTTTCTCTCCATGTTTGCTGTATATTATATTCGAGTCTATTGACTAAACATCGTCACAAACAGCTGGAACAATCATATGTGTGTCGAGTGCTAGCGCACTGAGCGCAATCTATCACGGTTTTCTATACAATTGCTATGTATAATATACACATATATGTGTATCATGTTACAGGTTACAGCGGAAATAGCGAGATTTTTCTCATAAAAGTGCTTTTTCATGGTAGCCGAGAATAGCGTTCAGAGTTTTTACTATTCATAAAAAAATTTGGCAACGCCATTAAATGGCAAATAGCGGCAGCCCATTTGTAATGAGTCCTAAAACAGCTGATTGTTCTTTTCTTCTTCTTCTCTGGTTCAAGTGCAAGATTTAACCCTTTTTTTATTATTGTTGTATATTTGTTTTCGTAATTTAAGTCTTACCACTCGTTTTGCCTTTTTTCTCTGTATGAGCCCTTGAAGTTTCAAGCGCTCTTTGCAGTGTTCTCCATCTATTCGTATACAATATATAATATTGATATACATATGTGTGTGTGTGTGTCGTCGTGTGCCTCTGGCAAACAGCTCTGTGTGATTGAAAGGAAGAGAAAACGTACTCGTCTCAATGTTTTATTTCTCTTGCAATTAAGTGATGACCTTTGTCGTTGATATACTTCGTTGAATTAATTCGATATGCCTGTCTGTCGAGTGCGTGGAACCGTTTTTAATTTATGTTTTCTGTAAATTCTTTAAAGTTTATAGACAATTTCAAATGATCATTGGCACACCCAGATTCAATTCATCATTGACTGAATGATGTTTGAGCCATTGTAAAATTGCATTGTGCATTCTACTCCCCCACTATAATGGGATCAATTGAATACTCTCGAATTCCCATTAAAAATATGGAATTGAAATTGTTGACATGCGAAATTGGAGCGCTCACAATTCTCGGTACAAAGTTAAAATGGAAAAAAATTTGGTGCCCCTAACAGCAGTGGCAGCAGCAGCAACGACTGAATCAAGTGAATAGCAAACACATTCTCTCTTTCTCTGTATCTTCCCCTAAGTGTGCAATGGTAATATCCGTCAAGTTATTGCGATAGAAAGCGTTTCAATCCACCCACCCCAGTGGAGAATGGAAATATTCTTCTTATTTCAGTTGTATAGGGTCACCCGACATGCGCGCTTCCCATCCACACACATTACAATTTCAAAGGCATAACTCACGTTTGTTCGTTTGCTCGCTCACTCGCTTGTTTGCTCGGTCGATGCGTTGACAATAACAAACTATGAATAGCTTCATAGTATAGTTTGTGCCATTATATCAATTAATATTGAAGTTGATATGGAAGCATTGTAATTCAATACAAGTTCTCCATAACATTAGGTATGTGTTATTCAGACACGAGATTGGAAACGATTTGAAAGAGGAAGTGAGATAAAAGCGCTTTCTTCTCTCTCTCTCTTTTTTGTCACACATACACACAAGCACGCGTATTTTTTCATTCCAACCGAAATAATTGAATTTTGTATCAACAGTTCGTTGTTATCATTGTGACTGTTGTATACTAACGGTCGAAATTTGTTCGGTATCTTTTGTCGATGTGAACACACTTGCACTGTTGTTCAGTCGATACGGCAGGCATTCATGGTCAATCCGATCGGATTTGGCTGCCACAACCAATATTATTACTTTTTTTTTTCTCTTCCACCAACAATGGCATCAAATCGCGGATTCATCGCTTTTTTTCATTGATTGAAATATCATCAAAAGCTTCGGATCCCACAATAAATGCAATAAGACGTTGGCTGTGGCGGTGGAGGTGGCGGCAACGACAAGAAAGAAAAGTTCGAAAAGACGAATGTTTTATCGGAATCAGCAGTGGAAACAATGTATTCGCGAATTGGATTGCACGCTCTAGAAACTTTTGAGCACACAACTTATCAAAATTAATATTCCCATCGAAAACACAAAAGTTTAGTGGAGCATGAGAACTTCTGGATGCCGCACACAGAGAGATTCAGATTAAAATTAGACATTGCCACTCTTCTCATCGACACATCATTAGCATTTGGTGGTGAGTGGACACTGATGGTTGTAACATGTTTGTTCCCGTAACCACATTTATGTGCCCGTAAATCACCTCCATCGCACAATGTAAAATGTAATGGAAGCAAAAGCGAAAACGAACATCAGAATATCGCGCAACGGCCGATGCGATGTCAATACGAAGGGAGGCAGGCAGGCAGCAGGAGCACAAAGGAATGCGTGTCGTATTTATATCCCATGAAAATGCTTTCTATGTTCCATTTCAATAGGTATTCCAATTTGTTTGCATGCCATAAAAATCCATCGGTGCGTTAGTCGATGCGTAAGATGTTCTATGTGGCTGTTAATAAATTTTATTTTTTCGCTTTGAAAGTGTGCAGAACTTGGATTTTTGCCTCGCTTTTTTTTTCCTCTTCTTTGAGCTGCTGTTTCCGTTATATTTTGTTGTAACATCAGAACGGCGAACACGCTTGTTCATTTTTTTTTTTCATCCATCCATCTATCCATCTGGCGTTTGTGTTGTGTGGTGTGCTATACATGCATCTCTCTGCTCTCTGCCATCGCTTGCGTTAATGTATTCTCTTTTTTTGATCTCTCTCTTTTTTGCTCTGTTTCACTCTCTCTCTCTCTCTGCCTCTCTGTCTCTCTCTCCCATTTTTGCCGTTGCTCCCTTTCGTTTTCCGTCTCTCTTGACGATTAAATCGTGTAGCATATTCTTCAATTTGCACATTAAATACCTATTCATTTCTCCAGCTTCAGCTTCAAGCCCGAGCTTATATCATCCATATGAAACGGTTTTTCTCTTTGCGTTTCGTTCGCATCGAAACGAAAACGGAAAATTCAGTTATCGAAGAGCCTTTGTGAGTGTTTGACGTGCGTGCGTGGTGACGGTGCTCCTATCGTGGCGGTGCTTTTCTTGTTACTTATTTTTCTTGTTTTTTTTTGCGTGTGTGTGTGCTTGTGTCTCTTCTTTTGTGCTGCTTTAAAACTTTTAACACACAAAAAAGGGCATAATTGAAGCGACTGAAAAGACTATTTTGTCGCCATGCAATTGTTTTCTGGTGTTAATAATTAAGTGAGAGAACGAATGAACAAATGAATTAAACACAGAATACCAAACATTAATAAAGCAAACAGTGCAGTTTTTTTTTCACTTTCTCTCTCTCTTTCTCCCACTGGCTCCTTCTCTCTCTCTCTCTCTCTCTCTCTCTCGTTTTTGTTATTGTGCGTTCGAATTTCTCGTTTCAATTACGGCTATGGGAGCTCATCATTTGTGATTTGATTGTTTGCGTGCGTGCGTGTATATTTGTGGATTGGTTTTTTAGATACGGAGAAATATTAGTATCAAAAATGGTAATACAGAGATATATTTATTATTGTTATTGTGTGTTGAGGCGCGGAGAAATGTGATCTGTCTTCGGAGTTGTGACATAAATTTCCTTTTTGCTGTGTGAAAGAGAGTATTTGTGCCGTTTATTCGTTTGTTGGTGATGTTATTCTTGCTGTCGACATCGACATCAGCATCGACATCGTTTTAGTCGTCATCGTCAACGAAGCCGTTTGCTTTAACCCGAGCAAGAGTGCCCAGACAAAGGAGCCGATGTGTGCGTGCGCGCAAAACAGTGATACAATCGTGTGTATGTGGTTGACTATATATAATTTCGATAACATAAACGCAACACAAGACGATTTGTGATTACACAACAAATTCTAGTGTTATTGATGCGTTTGTTTTGTGTTATGAACAAACAAGTAATTACTTTTATGTCTATGAATATTTAAATTGAATTCTAATTTCCTTGCAAACAATGATGCTGTGTCGCATCGCAGTTTTGAAAGTTATCAGAACTTAACTTAAATGCGGTAAATATAATACTCACAATAATCAATTATGTTTGTTACTCTTCTTTTTTTTACTGCTTTTCGCTTACTTTCTCTCGGGTTCTCTTTGGAAATGTGTGTTTCCACTTGTATTTCGTTTTGTTTCGATTCGTTTCGTTACATTTTCTCTACATGTTTTAATTGACTGGTAATGGGGGATGTCTATGCTTCATACACGATACGAATTGTAGAGAGCTTTTGCAATCAACTTACATTTAAATTGATTTCATGAAGATTTTTCCACTACACGTCGCACGTTGTCGTCGACGCCGTTGTTGTCGAGTGAACATCATGATAAAAGGGAAAGACTTAATGAGTGGAAATGATATTATTCTTGGGACATATTTGGCAACGTCGACGATGAAAACGACAGCGACAAAAAAACGTTGTCAAACGTTCCTCATCGCTTAGTTTCTATAGCTCGATTCTCTGATGATTGATATATCACGATTTGTTGAGTAATACGATCGATTTCGGAGCGCCAGTGACTTTGAAAAGCCCATTCCAATGTCTCTTTTTTTAGTGGCATTGTTAAAATAGATACGTTTTACTCGTTGCTGAATTTTTCACGGGTGCGTTTTTTGGGCACATACATTTCAAAATGAGCCGAAAAAAATATATCGATTTTCTATGCGTTCAAACCAATATAATATATTATGTATATATATATATTCCATCTATTTTGTGGCATAACAACATTTTTTCCGGTTCAAGGCCTTTTGGGATGAAAAGCACTTTGCGATTAGAGATATACATAAATTCTGCACTGGTTGCGGAATGGAGAGGGGGAGCGCCGCTCATATTGTGAATAATCATGTGTAAAATTATCATAGCACAAAGAAGTCAAAGAAATTATCTATTGTGCGTTTCCACATAAACACATGATGACAAATTTCTGATGAATGATGGTGTGAGAAATGGTTTTCTATCCTTCGTTACCACCATCATCACCACAATTCGAACACGCCTGCCAGAACCAATTAAAATCTGAAGCGAAGCTTTGTGTAGGTATAAACTCTGTGTTCAATCCTTTGCCTGGTTGAAATGTCGAAATGGAATTTTTCATCAAGTGAAAAAAAAAAGTGAACAGAGAACTCATGTAAAAGTTGTGCTAACGCTGTACAATGTTGTCATTTTATTTTGACCTGAATTCGAGAGCATTTCAAGAGAGAGAGACCGAATGAGGGAGAAAGAAAGGGAGGGAGAGATTTCTCTCCATCATTCTGATTTTCATTTACATTTATATTTTCATTTTTATTTCCAGTTTCATTTTCAATTTCTCCATTCTCTGAACTATTCCATTTCCCTAGGCTGGCTCAATGACAAATAGTGGCATTCAGAATGGTATATCAGCCATGGACATGTTTTCACAGCAAAATTTTTATGGGAATTGGTCGGTTCCTACCGCTTTTACTAATCTTAACAGCCACTTTATCGATTCAGGTAATCGCAGTCAAACGAAACGTAATCCACAGCCAAAATTATATCACCAGGGTAGGTATTGGCATTCACTCGGCCACAACATTCTCTATTTCATTGGGAGCACGTTCTTGACATAAATCAAAAAAAAAAAAAATTGCTTCTATTTTCATTTTCAGGAATTTATTGAGTCATCACTTCAAACTATCAATGAGATAGCTACGGAAAAGTTAGGAACAAAATGTGCCTCAAAAACATTTCACACACTTCAAGTCCCGTTGAATACGGCTCGTTATGAGGGTACGCGTCAGAAGGCCGATCTTGCTTCGATAATTTTGCAAGATGTTGGAATCAATCACCATGGTGGTAAGTTCAAGTGTGGCAACAACTTTTCCTCTCCAACGATGATGATGATGATGTGGTTGGCATTTTGAGCGTAGCCGAATTTTTGAGTTTTTGGTCATTTGCCAAAATGACCATTGTTCTTAAATGGCAAAACACATAACACATCTCTTAATTTCGTTTGTAATTCATTTTTAGGTTTGTTTGATGCGGTTGCCAAAGCACTCCTTAATGATGAGTTCATTTCGGGTGCACGTGTGCTCTTGGTTAACGTTTCGAACGGAGCGTTGATCTCGTCGGTGTGGTGGAATAAGAATGTTGGCGGACTAAGCGAACCAAGCCGAATCGAAGAAGAAGGCATTCAAATTGGTTTCGAACCAAGCAAAGAATATCCATGGTATGAAGATGAGCCTGGCTTACGTTCGCCCAAATTTATAGCCAGCCCCGAAAGTGATTCGTACCGTGGCTGGTGGACATACCCATATTACTCGTGCAAACAACAATGTTGGATTTTATCGTACAGCATACCTATTCCACCGCTTGGGAAGCATGGGTAAATAAATACCACCTAAATCTTTGCATTTTAACCAATCAATTTCATACTTTATGTACAAAAATCAATGCAGTGCAGCTTTACCAGATTTATTCGAATCGTTATAAGGCTTGATATTTACGTGTGTTTCATGTATTTAAGCCTCATACATCCGATTATCCTATCTCGCCGAAGACAATGAAAATAATTGGAAAATATCAAACAATTATATATTTTTTCAATTAATTTCGTCGTTACACAAAAGTGGAATTTAATCGAATACAGAAAAAAAATTCTTAAAATTTGGCTACATACAAACATACATTGTATGTGCTGCATTGATAGTGCACATCGGAAGAGAGTAATTGATTAAAGCGCTGCTCAAAGCTGGTTCTCCGCTAGATAGCAAATTGAGTAATCCGTTTTATAAATATTCCAGCATAAAGGGTTTTCTCAGCATCGACATCGATGTGTCGGAGCTGCAAGTGAATCAGTGTAGTTCGCCGCGTTCAAAGGAACCGTTAACAGCCAACAAGTACTACAATGAAATATTCAGTCAAATTGAGATTTTCCATGGATCGAACAAATGCCATCCGCACAGCATGCTGGTGAGCTGAGATAACTTCATTTTTATATTATCGGTGCCCAGAGATGACTTTAGCGCACTCAAGTGCGCTACAGCGCATCCGAGTATTTTTGTTGTTTTTTCGTTCTACTTAAGCTTTTTGGCCAGGATTTTTTTTTAAATAATATTTTGTGTAACATAACGAAGAAGAGCTTACATTTTCTCTAGGGGCTTATTTGTCGTCACGAGTCAGCAAGACTCGTATGATTTTCATGTAAATTAAAAATGATTTGCGCTGAATTGCAAGTAACTCGCACTGACTCGCACCAATTTACGGAGATTTGTGAAGACTCGAACGAATTCATACAAATATATACACAAGTCATAGCATAGAAAGTGTATGGCATTTATAGCAAATCCGCGAGTCGATGCAAATCAGCTTATATACATATTGCAAACCATTCGGATCTCAGCTTGTGTTCTATAATTCTTTTCTTATTCTGTTTAATATAGGCAACTGGAATCGATGTGAATTGAAAATGAAATGTATTAAATTGACAATGGAACTAAGATCCACGAAATGTTTTATGAAACATACGAACTGCACTTATTTTTGGAATGGGCAAGTCAACCATTAATGATTTATAACAAGATTTGCCATACATCATATGAATATATGTGGAGAATGACTTAATGTGTTCAGTGTAAAAAAAATGCTTCGACACTTTTATTTTCATCAGATTGAATTGTTTGAATGAAGCATTTTGATGGATTCGGGAATTGTGATAAATCCATTTTGTGTTCAAATTCACGATTTTTTAGTTGATCTATATAACTTGACATATTCCGTATGAAGATTCGATGCGCTGCCAAAAATTTGGATGGAATAATATTTTCATAAATAGATTCAACTAACATTTCACGATTTTCGTTTATGAATTCCACCAATTTCAGCGATATTCTCTATGTAAATAAGAGCCATATCGATCGACAAGCAAAGACTGTATTTTTCTCGGGATTTCAACACCCAAAACATCAAATACATTATTGTCTGCCTTAAAAAAATAAAAAAAACATTTCGAAACCAACCATTTTAAAATTTGGTATTAATTTTAATTTTCTTGCAGTCAAAATGTGACAATATAAATGTTTTTAATGACAAAAAGTTGATTTAGTAGTCGATTATTGAGTGAATTGTGAGTTCAACTGGCATGCTCGTTGACATTTCATAGTTTCGTTCAGTGATTCGCCAATTTATATGAGAGACTCGTGAAGGACTCGCGAATCTTCATATAAACTCGTAAGATTCGTGCACTTGCCTATATGTTTTGAAATGACTCGTGAGATTCGCACTGATTCACACTGATTCGTACGACACATAAGCCCCTAGCATTTTCTGCCCCCGGTATTCGCATTGTGTGGTCATATGCACCTAGTAATTACGCGCATTGGCTCAATTTCGCAATATTACGCAATTTCTACTTTTGGGTTTTTTTTCTTCATATTTTACTAATATAAATGTGGTTTTTCAAAAACTGTTCTTCGTTATGTTACACAAAATATTGATACAAAGTTTTTTTTGACCAAATGGTAAAGAATAACGAAGAAAAAAACAAAAAAACAACACAGATACTCGGGTGCGCTAAAGTCATCTCTGCGGTGCCATAGCATTTTTTCAAAATGAATTGTAAAATTGAATTTTGCATCCATTTCTACTCGCTTTCTCTCACCCGAAAAATCATAAAGTGTGAATATCGACCGCCATATGGAAGGAATACGGCATGGATACGAGGCGCCTATCAATGCCTCTGCAAACCAGGATACTATTCGATACGCCATCGAGATGGTTTTAATGGAACGGTGATGGAAGTGGCTTACAAAGAATATCGAGACAATACTAGTAGCTATTATGAAGATGTTTTTCGCTGCACTCGATGTGCTGAAGGATGTGTTACCTGCAATTCGCCAGCCCCATGTTTGGCGTCCTACAATTGGGCATTCCGAATATCAATATTAACCATTTCAATCATGTGTGCTTGCTGTACCATAGTTTTATCCTGCTATCTATATAGCCATCGTAAAGTCAAAGTGTTCAAAGTTGCCAGCCCAATCTTCTTGACGATAACACTGTTGGGATGTGCCATTATGTACATGGAGGTTTGTCTCAGAAAAGACAAAAGCGAAACCATCTGTGCGATCTTAATGCACGCTATGTTTTCTCTTTCTATTTTGTTATTCCAGATGGCGGCAATTTTCCCAATTCTTGATGTGACTTCTTGCATTGCAACCAAATGGACAAGACATTTTGGCTTTTGCATAACATACAGTAAGAGCTTTTACTAAAATTTTATTACAGTAGACTGGAATAAATCATGTTTCTTCCCTTTTCAAGCTGCCCTTTTGATGAAAACTTGGAGGTATTTCACGAGCATGCCACAAACGAATTCAATCAAATCATTTATCACATGAGAAACATTTTATTCTAATTGATATTTGATTTTCTCTCGCTCTCTCTCTCTCTCTCTCTCTCTCTCCACACACAGGGTTTCGTTAACATATCGTGTGAAGTCTGCTCACAAAGTCAAACTCACAGGTATCGAACAATTGATATTTTTTACCTTCAGAATTTCTATTTTTGGTGTTTTATGATTTGTTCCGAGACTAATGCCGTTGCTTCACTCTCTTTTTTCTCTTTTGCTGGAAATTAGATAAGCAACTTTTGCAATGGATGGTCCCGATTTTGCTTGTTATGCTCATTTATTTGAGCACATGGACGTTGTCAGCAACGCCGACCGCTGAAGTGGTATGGTTTTAGATTAATGACCGCAAATTATTCGTAAAGCATTAACACATACAACGTGTTTGTTTTCGTTGCTTCAGATTGTCGATTCGAATGGATTGAAGTTCAAGCAGTGCGTGTACAATTGGTGGGACCACAGCTTGGCTATAGGTAATGACATATATGACTGGCAATAGACAAAGTTCTCCGGATAACTTAGCTTAATATTAACTCATTTCCTACCAAGCGTTCGATTTTCCATACGGAATAATCGATTATTCGAACAACTGATACAAAAATGCGTTAATGAGCTAGAAAACAAATGGTTTCTCGATTTTTCCGACCTTCCAATAATTCAAGCTTTGGAATATATAATTTTATTTACTCGGAGAAGACACTGGATTTAATTCATGTATTGATATTATTCTGAATTTTAGGTGAAGTACTGTTTCTTGGCTGGGGAATTCGCGTTTGTTACAATGTACGAAATGCAGAGTCACTATACAACGAGGCTCGAATGATATCATACGCTATTTACAATATCGCATTAGTCAACATTCTGATGATTTGTTTCCAGTAAGTATTTTCCATTGATTTTCCTCTACGAGCCATATCAGTCATTAATTCCCATTTCTATTGCAGTTTAATCATTTTTCCACAAGCCGGTCCCGATGTCAAATACTTTTTAGGATTTATTCGAACACAGTTATCGACAACGACGACCGTTGTGTTGGTATTTGGTCCGAAAGTTCTGCGAGTATTAGTAAGTTGAACAGAAGAAATAGCGGAGCAAACTTGAGATTAAATTCAATTTTACATCATTTTAGCGCGGCCAAGGAGATCAATGGGATCATCGTGCTCGAGTTCGTGGTATCACAGCCTCGTTTTCGTTAAATGGCATTGGTCAAGGCTTAGTACCTGAAGACTCGCCCGACTTATATCAAGAGAACGAAGAGTTAAAGGTAGTTTAATTGCATTGGAACGATATTTTTCGAATTTCCTGTAATTAAAGCGTTTATTTGGTTTTCACTTACATATGCGTCTCACACTCGCGCTCTTGCCCATATTCTGATTCAATTTGCTCAGGAGGAGATACAAAAGCTGGCTGCTCAAATTGAATTCATGAAAATTGTGAACATGGAAATGAATAATCGACATATTAAACCAAAGCCGGGTGGCTACTTTTCTTCCGCATCGTCAATTCAAAGCCCAACGAGCAAGGCGACTGCAGCACAAACACAAACGACGAGAAATGCAAAGGAGCAAACGAGTGGCGTCAGTGAGGATGGTCACAGTGGACACAGCGGAACCAATAGCGTAGGAAAAAATTCAAATGGGTAGTTTAATCATATCCACAACTCCACCAAAAAAAAAATGTCACACGGAAAATGCGAATCTGGACTTGGTTTTCCTCTTCTTTTTAGCAATTCATAGAACATTTCGTCTCGCTTGGTCGTTTGACGATTGGTTTAAGTGAACGAGCTTGACAAATGTTGACTGTTTGTTTAAAAAAAAAAACCGACCATTTTCGTATCAGACAACCGACGCACAAACAATGAAGAAGTTACAAACATTCGCGAACTTGATTCAACGACACCATTCGATCGATAAACAAAGAACAGCGCAGCATACAAAAACTTAATCGAAAATATACATCCATGACAAATGTAGAAACTGGATTACTAATCCATTAAGCGATCGTGTGAATAATCGCCTTCCTATTTTTCTATGAATTCGATCGCAATTGACTGAAATTAAAACAAAACAAAACACACACACACATTTTGAATGACGATAATAATAGCTACAAGAAGATACAAAACAACTATAACAAAATGTATTAACTGAAATCAAACTATCTTAAATTGTTTCCTCGAAACGAACACTAACATTTTTTTTTGTTAACAAAACATTTAGAAGCATATATTTAAAACGGATGAAGAGAGATTACACTAGTTGTTGATTTATGTGGTTTTTAAATTTTATATTATTTAAGTTTAGATAAATGAATGAAATTAAAATTAGGAAACAGGAAGTGAGGACAGTGAAAAACAAAACTGAAGTGCATGAACAAGTTTCTATGAATATTTATCTCATATTTATCGATGCAAATTGAATTGATGCAAATTAAATTGATCGAGATTATTGTTGGCCGTAATCGAGCTGGAATTGTGTAGTTTCTTGTTGAGGAAGAAAACTTCTCGGGTTAAAAGATGGTTTCATTTTGTAGTCCCGTTGTTAACCCAAAAACGATTCGTCCTTCCAAAGAAATTCAGTTAAAAATAAAGAAAGCCAAAAATCTAAGGGGATTTATCTCTCGCGAATGCTGCGAATGCATTCGCATTTCAGAACAAAAATTCGAATGTTTGCGAATGCGACGAATGCGGCTATGACAGCGAACTTGTGACTACATAATTCATTCGTTCATTCGTGTTTGTGCATGCATTCGCAACGCTGCCATATGATTTCTATGTAAACATTCGCACTCGCATTTGTGAGAACGTTCGAGAACAGCAAAATACGACTGCTATACGAATGCGAGTGCGAATGTTTACATAGAAATCATATGGCAGCGTTGCGAATACATGGCACTGAGCGCGAATTTGTGAATAAAAATTCGAATGCCAAACCGACATAGAAGCCCCTAGCCAAAAATTGAATGTCATCGCAAAAAGGCTTTAAAAAGAACGGATTGTGTTTGAAAAAGCACACTTAACAAATCATTTTTTCTTGAATCGGCGATTGGATTTCCTCTCCCTCTCTCCCTAAAAAAAAAACCGTCAATCCGTTTTACTCCAGCATTATTGATAAATCCTCATGTGTACACCACTAAGCTTAAATTATAGATAGAAAAACTAAATATAAGACACCCATCGAAGGAGAAAAAAAAATGCGATGAATAGATGTCAATTAAAATGTTATTTCTTTATTAAAATAGAGAACAAAATACGTTGGTTTAATCAACACAAATATTTTAAATTCAAGTGTATTGAAAAATGAAGTGTTAGCTTCTTATCTGTCTAAATAAGTGAGTGCCAAAAGTAGACATCAATTCGACACAGTCGTAACCATGGAGTGATTCATTCCACCATTTATCCACCCAACATCAGAATGAAGTGTTAAATGAAAATAGCACAAGCATACCAAACATGTTTATTTTTCTCGATCATTAAATACTGGATTCATTCTGGATAGTAGACTTTCTTCGTGTGTACCTGCGCAAATGTGTTTTTTCATTTTCGTTCTGAATCAGACAACAGAAATATTCACCAAAATCGAAATGAATAAAAGTATTAAGGGAGGGAACCCATGCAATTAATTGTGTAGAGTTTAGTTTTATGTGATCAAAGCCTAGTTTACGGTTCGACTAAAAACAAATGTCGCTGAGTAAAATATAAAAAAAAATTCGGACATGTATCCATCAAAACATGCTATATCTTCGTATTTTTTGGGAAGACGCGATCTGATCACTCATCGACAAACGTTGTTGTTATTGGTTGATATAGAAACATTGTTCAAAAAGAAGTGCTTCGTGTCTGTATTCTATTTAAGGCTAAAAGCGATGTTAGTTTCTCAAACGAATGATCTATGATGTATTCGCAAATTTTCCTCCACTGACACCGAACTCAGTTAAAAGCCAGGTTTGAAATTCTCAAGTTTTTTTTTCTGACTAACTGTAAACTGGGCTTGAAGAGAATAAATAAATAAATGTATAAATGTCAGCAAACATAAGCGTTATTTAACGACAAACATAAGGAAAAGAAGATAAACTAAATAACTGTAATATTTTATCAATGTGATTTATATTTATGTTATAGAATAGGGTGGGTCGATTTTTTGAGGCAATAGGTAGCCATGATGACTAGTGCGAGATCGATAGCCATTGTATAGCAAAAGTCTGTGGATTTTCTCTTTGTTGCTCCATTCGACAATTTTTCTTAAAAGAATTGTTGTCCGAAAGTCTGGGCTCAAGTTCACAATATTCCACTTTCCAATAGTCAAAAGAGAGACGGTTCACACAATTTTGACTCCTACGACAGGAACATTCTACTATAGACATGATTCTATCAATCTCGAACCAGCCAATTTGAATATCTATCGCCTCAAACAAATCAATCTACTCTATTATACAATATGTCAGGGTTATTGAGTTATTTTGTTAAAATTCTTGTATGTAATATTTCGTCTGTGTACAAAATTATACAATAAACAAAAATAAAAACAAATACTGAATAAAAGTTATGTCAGGAACGCGAAGCACCAACATATTGTTGGCAATACAAGAACCCAATCCTTTTTGTCCGCTCTTTAGACATCATAAAATGAAGTGAAAAACCTTTCTTATTTTAAAATTGTTCAGCTTTTTTATTTTTGCATTTCTATTTACAAAGATACACAATGAATTCATTTCAAAACTGAGTTCATTTTTTTTTTTTTTTCAAAATAAATTTGTGCAAAAAATCGATTAGTTATCTCTCATTAAAAGTATCTCATCACTAAGGTTTAGGTATAAAATAATTTACAGGTTTTGTTTTTTTCTTCTGCTGTGTTATTTTTGTTGATTTCCACAGAAAAATCGTTACACCAAAAATGGTTGCATTTTATTTGATTTGGAGTTCAGTAAACTACACATATTTGAAACACACAAAATTTCAATAAATTCAAAAAAAAAAAATCATCGTTTCTCCTTCACAATATAATATCATTACTTGTCATCCCTAAAAGCTAAGCTAAGCTAAGCCAATACAAATTATTAACGTAATTGTTGTCAGCATATATATAGATCTATTTCATAGATTGATGCAATGTTTTTTACTAGTTTCGATACAATGTGATAATCTTCAAATTTTTCCTTTTTTTTTTTGGTGCTGTGGTGAAAGTTATACAAAAAAATATATATACATCCAAAAAAATATGACGAAAAAAAAAAAAAAAAAAAGGAAAAAAAAACAGTAACAAAATCTCTCGTCACATATAAACTAGTATGTGTTTATTGGTCCATTGCTTCCTGCGTAAGATCTCGCGGTGAAAAACTCTCGCAATCTATCCCATTTTGCTTCGAAGAAAAAATATTTTGCGAGCTCAGTCTTCCGATTTTCCCAACAATTTTTGGTATTTCACTGTTTGTGTTTGTGCCATTACAAATAATATTGTCTTCGTTTGTTAGCGACGGCGATCGATTATTGTTCACAATATTGTTGTTATTGTTCAAATTGTTGTCTTCATCGTTATCGTTTTTGCTGGCCGAAACTAGCGTCGTAATTGAATCGTTGGTATTTGTTCCCATATTACATGAACTGCTTCGATTTTGCACAGTTTTTGCCATTTGTAGCCAATGTTCTTTATTGCCTAATACGCCATTGACTAGCGGCTGCAGCTTATCCGATAACGTTCCAAAGGCCTGTCAATCAAACCATCAATTAGCTTTTAAGTTCAATTACGAAAATTGAATTGTCAGTCGAAGAGCATTACCTCGTAAATCGGTAGACAAATGGTATCGATGAAATTCACTTGCATCATTGGTAACTCTCTCTCCTTTTCCCGGTTCATTATATCCTGCGGATAGATGGATAGAAATGAGAATGTGTGTAGGTCATTAGATCGGAAACTATTAAGAGAACACTTTGTGGTGACTTACAATGGGAGTGATGTTAAGCTCTTGTCGCTCCATGTCACCTTGCTCGAAAAACTCCGACGTCACAAGGTCGGCCACACGCTTTTCAATTGGCCACGGCTTTGTAATGGCTGACAAATCACAAACAGTCATACTCATGGCCCGCAACAATGATCTCGGCTCTTCACTCAACCAATTTGCCATGGATGTATTCGGTTTGACAAGCTTCAAAAACGAGCCACGTTTCCTGCAATCAAAATCCAAACACGTCAATATCTATCACTTCGTGGAATGAATTGGATTCACATTTAATTTTTGGTACCTGAAATAAACGGCCAAATCAGTTGACAAAATGGCATCTTCCAAGACGCGAAGGGCTCGGCTGTATTCTTCTGACGATAGATGGGCCAAAATTTGATTACCCGGGCTGTTCAAAATCATGAGACATTGATCGAAGTGATGGTGTTCCATCGTTGAGGTGGAATACAATTGGGCTAAAGGCGACGAAGCTCTGGAAAAAAGAAACAACAAAATGTCCATTAAAAATTCCCATTCAATTCTGAATCACACATCTCTGTGCTCTTACTTAATTTGAAACGAATTATTCGTTCCTCTGTGATCCAAGTCATGACACAAACATGCGATAATCAATGCCAGACATTCAATTTCACCGAATATTTTCCACCATTGTGTTGTCTGTTGATTTTAATAAATGTTAGCAATGTCATAAGTGCATCAAATTCACCAACCGAATTTACCGTAACAATGGAGAACATCATCTGTGCAACGTTGAAAGCGTGTCGCCAATTGTGATAAGTAACGTTGCGATAATTCTTTTTTACGCTCAACAGCCAACGACACAGCACTTCGTAGTCAATATGAAAACGTTCAACAAAGTCCAGCTCCAAAAACATTCGCAGGCACGCCTGTCATTTACAAGCACATGGAAAAAAATTACAAAACATGCAATCGATTAAATTGTGTTTGACAGGTGACAGCTTTACAGCAATTACCCTCAATGTGTCATCATCATCCATGTAAATATCATCAAAACTGAAGTCATGCAACTGGAAATACGCGGCCGATGGAATTTTCAATTTCTGCAAACGTGAAATTAATGCATGCGTAATGAGATAATCAATTAAAATGTGGTGCTATTTTTGCTCGGCAGTCGGCACTTACTCGAAGGCGCACCGCGTCTTCCATTGACGCAGATGCATGATAACTGAGAACCTCCAATGTGACGCTTTGTTTAGCCATCGCAACGATCGCCTTCTCGTACATATGTGTATTGTGAATTCCCATTCCGCAAAAAATTGCAAATGCTTCAACGAAATTCTCGTCATTCTTGGTGAAAGTCTATAAATATGAAGTTTAAAATTAGCATAAGCGCTTCACTAATTTTTTAGAAAATCATCTACTACAACTACATTGTTTGTATGGAACGCCTTACCAAGCTGTCAAATTTATTGATCAATTGAATGACACCGATGATTTGACCCAATGAATTTTTGATGGCCATACAAAGTATGGTTTTGTGCTTAAAAGTCGATCCATCGTCTACACTTTGGTCAAAGCGATGATCTTCGTAGGCATTCGCTATATTCACCGTCTGTTTAAACAATTGCATCGTAAAATTAACAATATCTGCCTTGAGAGTAATGTGATATATCGAGTGTTTACCTCTCCCGTTGTAGCTACATGACCTGTAATTCCGATGTTGATGGGGAATCTGGATTCAAATGGACTGGTCCGTGTACTATTCTCCTCTTCGCTAACATCGTTAGCTTCGAAGTCAAACACTCTCGAGAAACTGCCCTTAGATGCCTCATGAACCAACAGTATCTATTGAAATGAAAATAGCCATCATTCCATCTTCAAGTGCATCGTCATTCATTGATTCGAATCCTTACCTGAACGCGCTGGCATTGAATCAAACTCTGCATATGAGTCAAAATCCGCAGCACCATGTGCTCTATCGTGCTTTGCTCTTCAAATATCATTCGAGCCAAATCCAAAAGAACCTGATTCCGTTTTACTTCTAATAGAGATTTTTCATAAAGCTGTGCATTTCTTAAACCAATACCACAAAATTGAAGATATGATGTAAATATCTGAAATAGAAAACCACGGTTACATTCGAATAAAAATTGGATTTCAAAGTTCGAAATTCGGTCAGTTTCGACCCAAAGGCTAAATAGACAAAATGAAAAAAAAAAAAAACCTTTTCGTCATTCTCTGTAAATCGTTCGCAATTTAGCTTGTTCATCACTTGCGCAACACCAATCACGTCTCCGGAAGAGTCTTTAATTGGCATGCAGAGCAAAGCCTTTGTTCGGTATCCCGTTTGCAAATCTATTTCGCGATTGAAACGTCCATCCTGTAACCAATCTTGATGAGTGCGTGAAACAGAAACGAACATGCAATTTCGACGAACACTTACTTGATATGCATCCGGTATATTAACTGGCTCTCCACTTTCAGCAACGTGACCGGCAATTCCTGTACCCCAAGCGACACGAACCTCTTCGTGCTGTACGATTTCTTCAAGCGTGCTTCGAGGACAGACGTCAAATAATTTTGATACCAAACATCTGTGAAAGTTGAAATTGAAAAAAAAAAAAAATTATCAACAATTGCGTCAATGTGCGGATAAAAGTGAACTTACTTTTTGGGTGCGTCAGGATTATTCTTATCTGTGCATTTGCCTTGAACCAAAAACAGTGAGCCTCGATCAGCTTTCAGCAATATGGAAACATTTTGTAATATTTTGTGACACAAAGATCTTACATCCAGCTCATTGCAAATATCTTTCACCTTGAATAGCAGATGAAACAGAAAAAGAAACAACAAAAACAAAAGATGACATAACATCTTAATGGATTTAGTTGGTTGAAGAGAAAAAAAAAATGCATCGAATGCCGTATACCAATTCAAAAATTAGCTGTTTTTCATCTAAATGCTTTAATTCATTGCGTGACAATCGCTGTGGCCGGTGTGGATGACTAGACGAATTTATTGGACTTGATCCTGATCCTGAGACCATTTCATTCTGTGAACTTATACTTAAAAATGTTGGCGTTCCATCTATCGTATTTACAATGGGCTTTAATAGGCCGCCACGCTCAAATTCATGCGCTGATATTTTTCTGTGAATAAAAAATAAGAAAATGCAAATCAGACTATTTATGGCCATTAATTGAATATGTATATTTGCGACTGTTATGAACAAAACAAAAAATGAAAATAGAATTTAAATTAGAAATAAAATTACCTAACAGGTGTGGTGGCACCAGACCCACCCCTCGATGAATTGTTCGGTGCATTTCCATGTATAGGCGATGGTAGTTCACTGCTGCCAGAATTTGCATGTGATATGAGCCACGAATCAACTAATTGTCTTGTCGCTTTTCTGCAAAATCGAATGTTCCTTTGATTTAATAATTCAAAGTGAAAATATGGAATGAAATAGAATAAAATGATAGGAAACTCAACCCACCTGATGAAATAATCTTGGCAAAATTCCGGATTCTCGTCCAACCATGTTTCTATACGGGAAAACTCTGGATCATATTCATATGAGGTTTGGCAGGTTGGCAGGAGGACAACAGAACGAGAGCCAATGTTATCGATTCGTTCTGTGCCCCCCTGCTCAGCGGGCATTCTGTTTTTATTTGGTTCCTCTATGCTGCGCAAATGCAAACCTGAAACAAAAACAAAAACGAAACACATTGCATTCACGTTCGTTCTTTTTCTGTGTGCCACCGCTCAGCACTATCTGTCTGCTGTCAATTGCAGTCGAAATCGAGAAATGTGACTGAGTATTAAATTGGCATGTGTAGCTATTTCAAACCAAATCGATTCAGTGCACATATAATTTTCAGCAGAAAAACAAATCTAGAGGCAAGAAAACTAGTTAATTAGGACAGACGTCGTGTGTGTGATTCTTGCGCCAAGTTAACCAAATGCGATCAAACGAATTGGTGTGGCGCACACGAATTGAGGAGCATATTTCTAAATTTAGAACCATTTGCAGCCTCTGAAAAATTACGAAAAAAAATATATGTATTTATACACTTTTGCTGTTCATTCAGTTTTCAGTGAAGATGTACTTTGGCTGGAATATTATGTACGGATCATACAGCATATCGCAGATCCATTTGAAGAAAGCGGAAAAAAAAACACGTAGAAAAACTGATTATACGTAGAGATTGATCAAAGAGTTATCGCCTGGATTGCTACACAATCAGTATACGAACTATTATTTTTGAATGGGTTCTCATTGATATTTATAATCAGCAGTCCTCAAAAGCATTAGAATACAGTTGTTTGTTTTATCTGCTTTGTTGTGTTTTGAAAGTTTTTTCTTCTCTTCTTTCTTTATTTTCAGCAACTTGCCACCAATATTATTTATTGATTATACATGTATTCGGTATAGACATATTTGCGTTGCTTTGAATAATTTAAAAATAATAAATAATAAAAAAAAAAAAAACGAAATACACAGAGTCGCATTTGACGTCAACGGCTTGTAAAATATTACACATGGACTATGGCAGCATTGAGACAAACAGGCTGCATTGAATCGTTTCACATCGTGCCAATCGAACATAATATATGGGCAAAGGAGGAAGAAAGATCTCGAAAACGTCAATTCAAGCGCCTCAAGCGACTCACATCTAGAATTCGGAAAGAAAACTTCACGCGACATCGATTTAAATTAAAACTTTGTTTACATTTCTTCCTTCCGGCCCCATTAAATGTGCATATTTTAATTATAGTGTGATTGGCATCATTAATGTGAAAATAAATCGTCTGGAACAATGCACACACCATATACAAGTACAGGCGCGAAATAGGACGAGAATATGTTTCGTTGTTTCGTACGTGCGGTCTGCTCAAAAAGTTGCATGGCTCATTGATACTTTGTGCGGGATTTTTCACGTTGTGTCTGATCAACACACGGATCGGATGAATTTCTAGCGTTTTTCTCGCTCGCTCGCTCTCCATTTATCTCACGAAATTGAATTGTCTCCAATGGTTTTTGAAAGAGACAGAGAGAGAGAGAGAGACGGCTTTTAAGCTAATTGAAGTACATTTGAAGAGGCGCACATCATTTTGTTAAACGTTCAATTGCGACATATTTACTTGTAATGACGCTATGCACATCTATCTATGTAATAACCGTACATCAGCGATTTTTCACTTGAATAAACAAACGGTGTTTTTTTTTAGCCTATGATCGCGAAAATACCGTCGATTGCTTCTCCTTAATGTCACATATTTCTATTGAAATCGAAATTTGATCTCATTTCGAACACATTGTCAAACATGCAATGCTTGTTGTCGCTACTTTTTTTTCCATCTCCATAATCGCAATTATGGGTTTCTTCGCATAGACTATCACACACACACACACACACACACACACACACACATACATACTGAATACCTGGAAATCGCACTTGAAAACAGAAAAACAGAACGTACGAAAAAAATTAACAAGAAATGCTTGAGTGTAAAACCTTTTGTTTCATCATTGTTGATATGTCTGTTTCAATTTCATGATTGATCGAAGCATTGTAGTAAACATCAGAATCAGCGATTTAATTGAGTTGTTGTGCTGGGCTATACACACTTAAACCGTCACTGTCTTTTTCGTAGGACTGGTAATTGTTGTGGTTAAGCTTGCACTTGGCTTGACTCTTTAAGAACACTCCACCTATTTCATTTGTTATTTGAATTTTCGGTTATGAGTTTGGCTTTTCACATGAAAATCACTCGAGACTATTGCAATCTCTGGAGCACATACACACAAAAACGATTATTCAGTGGCGTTTTACTTTGTTGTTGTCTCGATTGACGACGAAAACATTGCTTCTCCACGCTCTCTCCGCCAGCTACTGTTGCTCTTTTTTTTCTGTGCTAAGGCAATATTCGAAATAATATATTCATCAAAAACTGCTTTAGACAACCTTTAAACATGAAATGTCACCGACAAAAAATTTCGTATGTTTATCGTTTTATGTTTATATATATATATATTTATATAATTTTTTTATCTGCGTAGATTCTCTCGCTCACATAAGATGAAATCTTGTCAATGGTGATACGAAACAGAAGAAAAATAATATAAAGGAAGATTGAGCAGGAAAAAAAGCACACATATATCGGTATAAATGTGTAATATATTTGAATGTAAAGTCGAAAAAATGAAACCGGCTCGTTTACGCATCAAGATATTTTATTTGCATACACGAATCGCACCATAAAATGATCAATGCAAAAATCTCCCAATAAAATATACACGAATTTTCTGGTTGTTGTTGTTCTTGATTCGTTCAAAAACTGCGACAGCACACGAAAGAAGAAAAAAAAAACAAAACGTAGAGCAGCAACAGTAGAGCGAGCTGAGAGATACAGCAAAGACGAAGAAAAAACAACAACGTGAACCACAAGAGAGAGATATACGCCACACACAACAACAATGGACAACAATGCCAAACATCCGTCGCGACAAAACTGAATACAGTTTCAGCATTTGTCATATAGAATACCGACATGCACCCAAACTGCTGAGAGATAAGTAACGCAACGTATGGTCGATGTAGAACGCGTGTATGTGTTTCAAGTTCTCTTTCTCTCTCACTCTCGCCGTTGTGTATATAAAGTGAAGAAGGAGAAATGTCTGCACGTACGAGCGAGTAAGCAAGCAAGCAGTGCGAGAGATAGAGAGGGAGAGAGCATGTGAGTGATAATGTTGCTCGCTACAAATGTGGACGTAAAGGCAAATATACTCGTAAATACTCTCCATACACATTTAAAATTGATTCATTTGTCGTGGACATCACATCGCACAGACTAAAATGTGTGGCAAAACTGTTTTTGCTCGTTCGCACATGCTCTCTTCCTCTCTATCGCTATGTGTGTGCGCTAACGAATCACGATTAACAGCCACACTCGTGCCCGGATAGATGAAACGTAAACCCGAAATTCATATCGCTTCAAGGCAATTTCGATGAATAAGAAAAAAGTAATTTTTTCGCCGTTTTTCTTATGAACATTGTGATTTTTTCTTGCCTTTTAGCCACTGATAGGCGATTGACTCACATTGCCAAGATATAGATTAAAGTAGGTTTATTACGGAGTATTTGATGTTCTCTTCGGAATCGCATTTTCGATACACACACACACATACACGCGCACACCGTGTATGTAATGCTATTCCATGTGTATTTTCTTTTATTTCTTATTTTGTTTTTGGACGATTTGAAAGAAACGAGAATCACACAAGTACATTAGTGGCGTACGTGCGATTCTCGTGTTAGTTCATTGATTCACATTGTGGCTATATAGTATACACATGCAGTGCATTTGAACGTCACCCGCGACAGTCACATATGTGTGTGCGTTAATTTGTTCCGTTTCTTTCGAACGATGATGAGCTAGAGAGAGAGAGAGAGAGAGAGAGAGAGAGAGAGAGAGAGAGAGAGA